CACCCTTCCTCCTCCCTCCCGTTATTGCCACTCTCACCACTGGTCCTCAAGGGATCATCTGTCCTGGATTCCCTGTGTTTCCAGTTCCTATCTGTGCCAGTGTACATCCTCTGGTCTAGCTAAACTTGCAAGGTAGAATTGGGATCATGATAGTGAGGGAGGAGGAAGCATTTAGGAATTAGAGGAAAGTTGTATTTTTCATTGTTGCTACATCATACTTTGACTGGCTCGTTTTCTCCCTGAGACCCTTCTGTAAGGGCATGTCCAGTGGCCTACAAATGAGCTTTGGGTCTCCACTCCGCACTCCCCCCCGTCATTCACTATGGTAGGATTTTTTGTTCTGATGATGCCTGAGACCTGATCCCTTCGACATTTTGTGAACGCACAGGCTGGTGTGCTTCTTCCATGTGGGCTTTGTTGCTTCTGAGCTAGATGGCCACTTGTTTACCTTCACATCAATTGTTTCAAGCGCATTTGTACATTCGTTGCCCTCAACATTCTCAAAATATTTGCTCTCCAGTTAAGCCCTTGGCATCAGCTCCTCATTTTTCCCTCTCTCTCCCTGCTCCCCCTCCCTCACGAACCCTTGATAATTTGTAAATTATTATTATTTTGCCATGTCTTAGACTGTCCGATGTCTCCCTTCACCCACTTTTCTGTTGTCTGTCCCCCAGAGAGGAGGTTATTTGTAGATCCCTCTAATCGGCTCCCTCTTTCTACCCCACCTTCCCTAAAGGAGGGCATATTATGCCTGGTGGGTTTTGATCAAGTGCAATGTAGCCGAGAGGAAGTACAGATTGCTGAATGAAGGTGGAACATGATAGTGGGACAGGAGGAAAGTAAAAGGAAATAGAGGAAAGAACTAGGAGACAAAAGACATTTATAGAGGTATTAATATTGGCATGCACATGTGTGAATATATTAATATATAACGATAGGGATATAGGTCTATGTACATATATTTATGGGTTAAGTATTAAGGTAGCAGACAGACATTGGCCTCTACTCAAGTACTTCCTCAACGCAAGAACACTTTGTTCTAATAACCTGGCATTCTGTGATGTGCACCTTGCCAACACGATCGCTGACGATAAAATGGGTGGATGGTGCCTGGCTATTAAAAGATATAGCATCTGGGGTCTTAAAGACTTGAAGTTAAACAAGCGACCATCTAGCAGGGAAGAGGAGAAGCACACCGATCTGTGTGATCTGGAAGTGTCAATGGGATCAGGTATCAAGCACCAGAAGACCCAAAACAAACAATCATTTCAACGTGACTGAAGGGGGTTGGAATGGAGATGCAAAGCCCATCTGTAGATAATTGGACATCCCCTCACAGAAGGGTCACAAGGAAGGGATGAGCTGGCCAGGGTACAGTATAACACCAATGAAACTCACTACATTCTTTTAGTTCTTTAATGCTTGACACACACACACACACCCAGCCCCACTATCATGACCCCAGTTCTACCTTGCAAGTCTGGCTAAATCAGAGCATGTACATTGGTGCAGATAAGAGCTTCAACACACAGAATCCAGGACAGATAAACCCCTCAGGTACAATAATGAGGGAAGGTGAGGGGAGAAAGGGGGAACTGATTGCATGTATAACCCCTCCCCCCTCAGGGGGGGCAAACAACAGAAACATGGGTGAAGGGAGACAGCAGATGGTGTAAGATATGAAAATAAAAAATAATTTATAAATTATCAAGGCTTCATGAGGTTGGGAGGGTGGGGGTGGGAGGGGAAAAAAGAGGAGCTCAAGTAGAAAGAAAATATTTTGAAAATGATCTTGGCAACATATATACAAATGTGCTTGATACAATGGATGTATGGATTATTATAAGAGCTGTAAGAGCCCCCAATAAAATGATTCATTAAAAAAAAATACGGATGAAGCTTGAAGACACTACAGCGAGTGCAGGAAATCTAATGTTGTATGACCTTGCTTGCATACCATGACGAGCAAAAGCAAGTTGTAGGCGCCACATTTTGTTAGCTGTTGTCAGGGATAGAAGCAAGCACTTCTGATACAGAGCAAGGATGACAGCTTCCAGTATAGATTACCATGTAAAGGTAAGGAGCCAAATCCTTGCCCTGTGAGGTCAGAGGTGCTGTATGTTTGCCACTCTGATGACCTAGCGAAGCAGAATGTGCTCATCTCTGGGATGCTGAAGGAGATCAAAGGGCTTTGGAGTGAGTGTGGAAGTTAAAACCGTCTTTTTTTTTGACCCACATATCTAGCCGTTTTGGAACACATTTGTTTTCTTTCTTGAAATTCAAATACAGGACTACTCCAGTCACATCGCAATTAAAAGAAAAAGAAAAGAAGTCTTCACTAGACGAATAAACATCATAAAAGGAGAAAAGAGTGTTGTCAAGAATTTTGTTCTATTTGAACCCATAATCCACAGGCATGGAAGCAGCAATCAAGAAATCAATGTATTGCAAATTGGGCAAGCCAACTGCACAAAACCTCTGTAAAGTAAAAAGCAAACATGTCACTTGGCCAAGGTGCACTAAGGTATTTTCAATCACCTTATATGTATATGAAAGGTGGATAATGAATAAGGAAGACCAGAGAAAAGACTGACATATTAGAAAATGATGCTGTTGCAACAAATCTTAACAGCACCATGGACAGCTAAAAAATGAATGAGTCTGTCTTGGAGCGAGTGCAGACAGAACGCTTTTTAGAAGTTAAGATAGTGTGACTTTGTTCTATGTACTGTGGACATGTTATCGGGAGGGACTGTCAGGGAAACCAGCCCCCAACATATCATCACGGGTCTGGTAGGCACAATTGTACAGTGATAATAAGTAAAGATTATAGTAAAGTCAAAAAAAGAGATTATAGTAAAGTCCTAGAAAGCATGAGAGAGAGAGGAGAGATTGAAGTAATGGAGTCAGATACATTTCATAGTAGCATGCTCACCTCAGCCTCACTTGGTGGTCCACATGGAGAGAGAGAGAGAGAGAGAGAAATATTTATTGCTAACCAAGGCTTTTATATTCTCTGGGGATGTGCAAGTCCCCTAATTACAGGTGAAGACATGCGTCACAGGAAAGGGTTGTACTATAGGTAATGCAGTAATGGGAGGGGGGTGATCTAGGGGTTCGCACGCTATTGGAACAGGAGGGAATAAGGGTATACATGTGACAAGAAGGGCGGATCCTAGATTCATGATGGCAGCCTAACTTTGGATGTCACTGAGCAGGTTTGACCTGTTCTCTGGATCTCCATAGAAACCATTATCAGTAGGGTATACACCCCACCTACAGCGACCAGACTAATGGTCGCAAGCCTTTAGGGAGAAGTAGCCCATTGTCCTTAACAGCAGGGCCCTACCTGTGGTGGGACCAGACAGTAGTCTGGCAGCTGACCGCCTTCAGGGAGGTAACTTGACAATTAGCTGTAAGCAGTGTCCTAAGTCTAATATATATTTGGAGGAGAAGACTTGGGAGAAATCTTTCTGTTTCCCACAAGGAACCTGGAAAGGACCTCCTGCTTGGCCAAGTCAAGGGCCAGTGAACAAGAGAAAGGCCCTCCACAAAACAGATAGACTCAATGGTCCCAAAATGGGCTTCAACGTAACAATTGTGTGGATGGCACAGGGGCGGGCGGTGTTGGGTTCTGTTGCCCAGTGCGTCACGGGGAGTCGGCGTTCCTTGGATGGCATCTAACCCCAAGAAGGGTTCTTTGCAACCTCGTTTTGTCCAGTTGCCTTTTGTATCCCACAGTTATTGTAAGCTACCATGGTATGGTGCTTCTGGAGGAAGATGTAAGTATAAAAATTATTTAGAGATAAGATTAGCCTGGCCCCTGCGCAAGGATGATGCGCAAATTCAGGAAGCATTCCATATTTTTAAAAAAGAATAATAATTTAGAATGAAACTTGAATGTTTAAAGAAGAATTGTATACCTCGTGGCTAGGTGAGGTCGTATCTAATTTCTGGTTTCAAAATCAAATGCAGTGGGGGTTACAGAGGCAGAAGTGCCTACCTGAGGACAAACACGGTTGGGGGAGCTCCCTAGGGACATGTAGACTGGATCTTGAGTAAGAGCTTGACAAATGGGTCAGGGGGACGCTCACAAATCTCTCTGCTGGGCACCACAACATGCTTAGCAGATTGGTGTGACTGGGATACAAGCTGATGGTGCTCGAAGGGCTAATGCTGAACCAGGCCACCCAGCCCGTCAGCCAAGGGCACAGGAAGGAGGGTGATGGGTGGCTCCTCTGCTGGTGTCGCTCACCCAGAGAGCCCCACATTCGACAGCCAGTGAGACACACGGGGGTCTGGTCAGCTGGGTGCGGACAAATATTGGTGCTCATGGAAGAAATGAGGGTGAGTTCCTTGTTGTGCATGAGTCTGTCCTCTGACTCACAGAGATATTTTTAATTCATGCCGCGTTTCCTTCCTTCGGAGCACGTGAGAATGAGAAGCTGGTGGTCATTAGGAAAGGGCTGCAGAGAGGAAGCTCCTGCAGCAGAAGTCTGTGGGAAGGTGTGTGGGAGCCTGGCTAACTCTACATATACTCAGAGCCGCCCAGCCTCTCTGAGAGAGGCCTGTTGGGTCAGCACCCTAGCAGGGCCTTCAGGAGCGAAGGACCGCTTTGAAGAGGGAGACTCCTACAGGTGCTTTCTCGCTCACCTGGGTTTCTGCTCCTGGATGCAGGTAAGCCGAGATGAAAGGGTTCCGTGAGATGACGGCTGCGGAGCAGTGTAGCCTAGCCCTTGGAAACACAAACTTCCCACTCCCCAAAGCCTGGGCTTTGTCACATAGAAGTTGTGCGACCTTATTTCACCTTATTCTGTCATCTTCCCACCTTTGCATATGTGCACCCTACTTTTAGGAGCCTGGGTGGTGCCGCCGTGACGCATTGGGCTGCGAGGCACAAGGGCAGCGGATCGAAACCACCAGCTACTCTGTGGGAGAAAGAGGAGGCTTTCTACTCCTGTAGAGTGGTCATCCCAGAAACTCACAGGGTTCTGCTCTGTCCCATCGGGTCACTACGAGTTGGAACTGACTCGACCGTAGGAGCCTTGAGTTGATGACCCCCCTCCAGGAGGCCTGACCTGGCTCCTGGACTTGGACTTGACCTCCCTCCCACCTTCACTAGGACTCCTTGCTTGGGATTGATTCCACTTCATCATCATGGCTTATGGATTAGTCAGTGTTTCTACTGGAATTCAACTCCTCAAAAGAAGGACTGCCTCCTATGGTATCCCCAGCCCGTCAGCACAGTGCCCATCAGTCCAAACCAGTTGCCACGAAGTCTGTTCCAACCCATGGCGACCCAGGTGTGTCAGGGCAGAACTGTGCTCCACGGGACTTTCAATGATTGGTTTTTTGAAAGCAGACCATCAGGCCTTGCTTCCAAATCACCCCTGGGGGGACCTGAACCCGCAACCTTTTAGTTAGCAGCTGAGCACATCAACCATTCACACTGCCCAGGGACTCGGGCAGATCGGGAGTGGTCACTTCATGCCTAGCTGACCGAACGAAAGAAAGGCCTGCGAGGTGATGAGTGTGGCCGGTCTCATCCTCCTTGTGACTGAGTGGAGCCATTGCCCAGACAGCGAGGATCTCGGCTGAGCACAGGGCTTTCCCTGCAGCCTGCTCCTGCTTGCCCTTCCACAGCTGAAATCAGCCAAACTCCTCTTCGTCTCATGGCTCACCTTTTGGGGGGTGAGCATTGCCCAGAGTGTTATGATTTCTAGGGACACAAAGTCAGAAGGAGTGAGAATCAAGCTAGCACAGTCCAGCAAGTGCTTTTGGCATTAGCTAAGTGGTATTCTGCATTGAGGTCAGGAGCCCTGATGGTTACATGCTGGGGCTGCTAACTGCAAAGTCAGCAGTTTGAAACCATCAGGTGGGGAAAAAACCAAACCAAACCAGACCTAGGCTCTCTACTCCCGTAAAGAGCTACATCTAGGAAACTCACAGGGGCAGTTCTACCTGGTTCTCCAGCGTCCTTATCAGTTGCAATCAACTCCAGGGCAGTGAGGGAGGGAGGTTTAGGTTTAGGTTGCCATTTCAAACCCTAACCCCCACCCCCCACCAGGGCTCCAAAGGAGAAAGATGAGGCTGTCTTTTCCTGTAACATTTTAGAAATCCTACATGGGTCAGAATTAGCTCCATAGCAATAGATTACTGGTAGGAGTCTCCAAAATCCACCTACCACCCTACTTAAGTTCTTAGTTTCCCCTTCGCTTCCTTTCTAAGACGTTGCTGTTAAGAAACGTCTCCTGTAGAAGAGATTGCCAGGGTATTTATTTGGGGCATCAGTGTCTAGACTCGCCTTCCTAGGAAGCTGCTCAGAAGCCCAAGCACACCCCAGCCCTTCCCTTTGGCCACTGACAAAACGTCAGCCACCTAGGATGGAAACAGGTAGAGTCTTTACCTCAACCCAGAGACCCACGAGGGGCGTCTTGCACCAGGCCTCGTGACAGCAGGGCACGCTGCATTCTCAGTGGTGGAAGATGTAGGTGCTGAAGACTTACTTCTTGAAACGGGGCCTCCTGAAGTGTCCCAGCTATGACAGGAGGTGGAAGAAGAGTCACCCCTCTGATCCCCCCACCTTCCCTCCGGGCCTCGGGGCCCAGCACGTAGTGCCACTGTTCCTTTGGGACGTCCCCTCTCCATGCCAACCCCCCTTCACCAAGACTAAAACCTTTGTAGGTATTAAGATCGTTATTTTATTCTCTGTGGAAAGCGTGGTTCTGAGGGCAAACACCGTGTGGAGAAGGCTCTCAGTAAGAGGTACTCACCACAGTAAAACAGATTCACAGCAGCAAGCTTCCTGCTGGGCGAGAGGGCTGATGGGGCTGAGCTCTGAGACTAAGGGCAGCAGAGGCCCTCAAGGGTTGTTGGTGCTGGAGCAGCAGCGAGGGGAGCAGAATCCGTCTCCAGACCAGACAGCCTGATCTGGGTGGTGCTAGGCCTCCATTTATTCTCTGAAACTGCCTCCCAGACAAGAGCCCTGGAGGCTCACAGATTAGGTGTCAGCCTGTTACAGAGTTGGCTGCTAGTTCAAACACACCAGGTTCTTTGTGGAAGAAACAGGAAGCCATTTGCTTCTGGTAGGACTTCCAGCCCGGGAAACCCTATAGAAGGTCACTATGAGTTGGAATGAGGCACTGGTGACGTCATGGTTACATAGTGGACTGCGATCGGCAAGGTCAGCAGTTTGAAACCACCAGTCGCTCTGAGGGAGAAAGAGGCAGCTTTCTACTTCCGTGAAGAGTTACTGTCTTGGACACTCGCGGGGGCACAGTTAGGCCCTGGGCTTTAGGGTTGCCCTGGACTCAGGGGCAGTGGGTTCATGTTTGAGATGAGCTGGAGAGATTTGGCAGTGGGAGGTGAGTTTTCAGGCCAGGCAAAGAGAACACATTTGTCAATTCGTGACTTGTTTTGAAATTGAGTTCTTTGATTAAAAACAATAAAGGTCCCTACAGGGGACAACGCTGGAGACACAGTGTGGGAATTGTGCCCGATCTGATCCCACCACACTGAGGCAAAATACTAAGGGCATGTAATAGCAAGGGGAACAGAACAGCAAAGTTCCCAGGGAATATATATATATAAAAAAAAAAAGAAGATATGCTAAAACCAATATTTGAGATCACTGTTTTGGGGTGGAGCCTGAGAAGATGGTAGAATTGGGGGAGGCCGTTGGAGGTCAATGATATTATTGGTAATCACCTATTTATCTAGATGTATCTTTACATACACACATACAATGAAATACTTGAGACAGCAAAGAAAGAGGCACGTTGTGAGTACTATATTTGAATATCTGTAAATACAACACATTCTAAAATATAGGTGATTGCCTGTAATGTTAGTGATGCCCAGGTGTGGCCTCTCCCAATTCTACCTCCTTTATGGCCTCTGCCCTCCAAAAACTGTCCATTATCTGTTTATTCCATTTCTCCACTAATTCTAAAGAATACACATATTATATGCACCCTAAAATAGAATTGCAGCAGGAAGTTCCCTGCTGTGGGAGAGGAAGGAGATGAACTGAGTTCTGAGATTTGGGAAGCAAAGGGTGCACACACACATGCACACTCATGTTATTTACAAAACCGCGTATGGTAGTGGAATGTCAAGATCCGGGCTTTCCAGCAGCTCCCAGCCTGCAGAGGAGCTACACGAGTACATGTGACTGGCCAGCAAAATGGGAACAAGCCATCTCCTGGGGATGTCCTGCCCGGTTTGGTTTTCCCTCTTTCGATTTTAGGCTGCATGACTCTACCTAAACACTACTAGTTCTGTTAAATTGACAAACAAAAGTTCACCTATCAGTCAACATGGGCAATAGAGAAAGGGATATAGGAAGAAGGGTGGAGGTGGCATTTTATAATTTAGTTGGATGTATCATTTTAATTTTTAATTAGCTGTATGCTTGCATAATTTACACTAACCATTTTTTTTAACATTTTATTAGGGGCTCATACAACTGTTATCCCAATCCATACACACATCAATTGTACACTAACCATTTTTAAGAGTACAGTTTGATGAGGTTTTTTTTAACAGTTTGATGAATTTTATCAAAAACATACAGTCGTGTCTTTACCACTGGACTCTTGTCTTTATTGTTTGATGCCATGTAGGGTAGAAAAGAGTCCCCAAGTTCAAATAAAATGTATAGAGACATATTTAATAAGTCCCACACAGGACAAGGACAAACCATCCAAATGAGGGAGACTACCAGCACGAGGCCATCAAGGTGTGTAAAGTCCAACCCCAGCTCCTTGC